ACCTAGAAACTTCCTTCTAGTCACAGGTCAGACACATGATCAGACACACGGCCATTAGACAACAATACCCAACAGCACTTCAGTTTCCACTAGATCGACTTTAGTAACAAGCTCCTAAAGGATAATATACCTGCTATAGTTGAGTTGTTCCTCCTCTCTGTTAAAAAAAAAATAACTTGGAATGTTGAAAGACCACAGAAAATTAAATTTGTAGAAGAACTTCAAATGTTGATATTAATTACCACAAAACTTCCCAAGCTTGGGGCTGTAGCAGGAAGAACAGGCAATATCTTCCAGTCACAGGAACTGTGCAGGCAGAGGGCCAGAAGAATGTGTAGTGTCTCAATGAGAGAGTTAGCAAATGCAGCCCCATCTATTCTAACAGATACGAGCAGCATCTTTACCCAAGGTGTGGTGATTTCAGGTCTCACCTTGGTAAAGTGTCCTCTGCAATAGTGACTTGCTCCAGCACATGCACTGGAAAACAAATGCTGGGATCCTTTCTGGTGTATCTGACCTCCTGCGATAGATCTATAGCTCTAGAAATACCACAGGCATTCACAAAACCAGCACTTTTTGTCTCAAAGTCAAGAAAGGAATGACAAATTTACCTTTGGGATCCATTTCCCTCCCAGGAAGTTCCCGCAGGTTGGGCATTTTGGTGGCTTATGCCTGGTGACATAAGTGAAGGAACAGCCAGGATTGGTGCAATTTCCATGTCCCCTGCGAGTATAGGTGGTTGTCTGAAACAAAATTGTCAAGAATTTGTCTACAGACCTGAAAAACACAAAGCTGTGCTGATCACTTCCTTTTTCCTCATAAGCCCTTTACAAATGTTATTTGGCAAATCCCCAGCATTCCACTATTATTCATTTTACTGAACACCACACAGCTGGGTCAGGGTGAGTCAGCACCAGAACTACTGCAAGTCTAAATGCTTAGTCTACATAACAGCCTCTGGTATTACCAGCATTTAGATCAACCTGCAGAGCAGAGATGAGCAATGCACATAACCTCCTGGAGAAGCTAATCTTGCACTTACAGTGAGGTAACAGTTCTTTTTGAACATGAAAAATTCATAGTAAGATGGCATTAAAATGCTTCTAACAGCAATCCACAGTAAGACAAAATGTGATTAACATTCATGACAAAGCAGCAAAAAAGACTTGAAGAGAAGCACTCATGATGCAAAGGCAGTTTTGTCAGTAATTTGTTGCTGTATGGGACGGTCAAGTGTTCCCAGGTCCTTCACTGTAACTTGCTATGAACTACTGAAACATGAGCAGCATCACCAGGCACTATTTATACAAACAACTAGAGCAGAACCTGTCATCTTTGCCAGGACAACTGCATCAACACATCTGAGTTTCTGTCAGCAGAGCACTTCCCAATATCCTGCTCTCAACACTCCCGAGGGAGCTGTTGTACTGTAACTCCCTAACTGGGTACAGATTTTTTTTCTAGAAATGCAAATGCTGCTGTCAAAAAATGAGTCAATTTAAACCAGATCCTTCTCAGGAACAAAAACCTGAGGTATCTCATTCTCCCTGAGACAACTGGAAGAGCATCACACCATGCACCACTATAAATATCTGCAGTGTTCCACCAGCTGGAAGCACAGAGAACCTGGAAAATAGGATTTGATGCCACTTTATATAACAGAAGGAGCTGCAGTACTGACTGTACAATGAACTCCCAAAATGGATGCAAAAACACAGGTGGCTGGAGTGGTTAGATTAGCGATTCTTCCTCATGCAACAGGCCACACAGCCTTTCATACGGCTTCTCAAAACTGCAGGTCATTGCACCCTTCCTGCCACCTGGCCAAAACAAGAGCTTTTTTGCAGTTTCCTGTAATAAGAGCAGATCCTTGCCCTTAAAGGGATGGACACTGACTTTTTATGAAGATAAATATGCATCCAAGTAGTGGATGTAGATGGCTATACAGAAACTGCTGTTGGCCAGATGTGTTGTGACAGCTTTATCTACTCCATCTGTTTCCAAGAATTCCCTGAGGAAGAAGGCAGAAGAAATGGGCCCTGTAAGATACTGTAGGAAGTCAGAGACACTCTTAGCCTATGCAAGACATAACACAAGGGACAAGAAATACATCAACTGATACAGTGACTCCAAATTGGATTATCTTTAAAAACTGAACCATGAGCAAATCCCTCCCACTCTAACATCTTTAAGACAAATCTATAAAAATACATTGAAACCTTAACATACCATACAAGACTCTGAATTTCTTACCAATTTAATTGATGCTGGGTTCTCCACAACAGAATGAGCTGGCAAAGGTAACATGATAAACTGTGTTGCAGGAGTGGAAGAGCTACTCTCTTCAGTATCCTAAAATGAAGCCAAAGGGAAAATACATGCAGAAAACAAAAGAGAAAACCATATCCCTCCCTCTCATAAACATTAATGTGTCTTAAGGACTGATGAGACCAGAATACAGAACAGAGCAGCAACTGTTTTAATAGCAACAGCCTTACCAGATGTACTCTGGAAATTACTGAACTCCTCACACTTTGAAACAGAAAACAGAGTGTGAAAACTCTTCACACTTAGGTTTTCTACGACTGAGTCCTAACACCTCAGCTAAAAAGGACTCCCTTCTCTGCAAAGAGGACTTCCTACCTCTCTGCAAGCAGGACAACAGCTATCAGGAGCAGAGCAGTGGCATTTTTTTCTCACTAAAATCTTGCAGTGCAACTGCAGAACCCAATTACTGGCACTGCAATACCCCAAATATTGTTATAACAATTAAAAGAACTCAGTTGTGTTAAGACACAATTCATAGCAGCAGATGGCTGAGTCAATCTGCAAGCAGAGACAACTTAGTCACAGTGTTACTTTTGTATCATTGATTATAAAAGTCTCCATTTCTGTCAGCATTCAGATTCAGCAAGTTGGGCAATCAGAGGATTTCCTGCACCCACTGAGGATTTCAAGTAAAATGGGGGAAACAACACTCAGATGTTTCAGGTGACATCTTGCAGGAGTTTGAGTGCCAGTGGAAAAACTTACCCTTCCAGTCACCACGGCCACCACAGACACCCCATTGGGCACCTGGGGACGGGCCACAGCGATGCTCCCATTGGAGATGTCTGTGGAGCTGCTCACCATCGTCTCCTCAATCACCACTCGGGCTGTGTGGTACGGCTGTCCTTCTATTTCCAAAGAAGTCTCATCCAAGAGGATATCTCCAGCCACTTTCTCTGTCACAGGCCCAACATAATGAGAAAGAACCTCTGAGGCAACCACTTCTTCCGCAGCCTTGGGCTGGGCAAAGGCTGCCGTGTCCTCTGGCAGCCCATCGATGGCAATGCGCTGCTCTGAGACGCCGGCCTGGCCCGAGTCCATGGAAAGGATGCTCTGCATGGTGTCACGGGACACGCCGGTGTCGCTCCTGGGAGCCACCAAGCCTTCGGATGCTGCCGGGCTCTGTGTCACACATAGCTCCAGAGACTGCCTGCTCCTGTCTTCTTGAAGAGTGGTTTTGGGAATAATTATATAATCGGAGCGAGGAAGAATCTTACGAAAGCCTGGAATGTCAGGGACGACTGCAGTTCGAGTGGATGCCTTGGAGTTCTACAGGCAAAAGCAGAGGATGGAATAAATGATTATGAGAAAAGGAAGAGATTCAGTTCTCAATCCTGCTATTTTAGTGCCTAAGATTCAAATGGTTTCCTGAAGTAGTTTGCTGGGAATTTCTCCACATGACAGAACCTGCAGAAACCCTCTCAGTCCAGGTTTTATCACCCACTTTACCAACACTCACTCAGATGAAAGGACACAAAAATAACTGCTGTGAGCAGGTACCAGACATATCCATCTTGGATTACAAAACATCCTCCTTCAGCTGAACAGAAGGCAAAGACAAAAGGCAGTGGCCTCACACTGCTTCTTTAAAGGCTGCCCTGAGCAAGGATACAAACTGGAATTTGCAGTTAAATAACTCTCCCACAGAGTTTTATGTAAGCAGGCCTCTCTCTTCAGCAGCCAAAGAACCTCCATAAAGACAACTTACCGGGTCCAGTCCCTCTTTCTCTAGCTTGGCTTTCTCCAAGTAGTAGCTCTTTTCAGCCACACTAAGCAACCTCCAGCTCTCACTGATCTTTTTGTTGATTTCAGATTGAGGGAGGTGTGGAAGCTCTTGCTGTACTTTCAAATAAATATCATAATAATAGAGAAGGTAAGCAGATCTGAAACAACCAGAAATTGAAACATTAAAGTTATTCTACATAAATTCCTTGGGGAAAAAATAAATCCACATGGTTTAGGTTTGTCTCAAGGTCATGTGACAAGCAAGTTACATTTAATTTTATCTATAAATGCATTTTTTAACCAAATGAAAACTCTCTCTCTGAGGAGAACCTCTGAAATAAAAAAGAGAACCTCTGAGGAACAGCCTAAGGCAAATTATTCTGGGGCAAACAAACTTTAAACTGAGCAACAGTGGCACCTGTGAAGAATGTCTGAGCAGGCCCAAAGTATCAAGCTGATGTTTCATATATGATGTTTTACACTATGAAGTGTTCCAAGTACACTGCAAAGTCCACTCATGTCAGAAACAAGGAAAACTGCTCCCACACCCTACAGAGGAACTAAATGAAGACAGAAAGAACTTACCGAGGCTTCTTGGCTTTTTCTCCGTGATCACCAGCACTTTTATGTTTCTTCTTCTTCTTCTTGCATGGCACTGGTGACGCATAAGTGTAAGTGCTCTCTATCTCCTCCATCACCACGGTTACCTCAGTGCCATCATAGGGAGCCTCCATGGCTAAAACAAATATTCTGGGTTATGCTCTTGCCAAGTCATACAGTGTTTCTGCCAACAAACAGCACTTTTAATCACTTAAGTTTCAGTAAACTGACAGCACTGTTGGCATCTAAGTTTGACCCTAATTAAATCAATATGTTCTCTATTTATTTACTTTTAGAAGGAAACTTCTGCTTCTATAACCCCAATAGCCTCAGTTCAGTGCAGATACACTACATGTGCATTTCCAGAGCTGCAGTTCCACGGGGAGCTCTCAGGTAAGTTTGGTGAGACAGAGGGAGCAGTACACTCAGACATTGTCTGGCTACAAGGTGTCCTTACAGCCACGCTACAAAAGCGAGGCCAGAAGCTGAACAAGCAAGAAGCTTCACAATTCCCTTACCCACAGCCAGCTCTCCGCGGCTTCTCGCTCGACAGCGATGACGGAAGGCTCCAGCCCCCGGGCTGAGGGGTGGGAGGACACAGGGAAAAAAGGCAGCACCACCTAGGGCAGGTACAGTGCCGGCACGGCCCGCAGCTCGGCCCCGCGCAGCCGCTGAGCCCGGGCGAGCCTCAGCCCGTTACTCCGAGCCCCGTCTCCTCCACACCGCCCGAGGCCAAGCGGAGCGGCGAGGCTCCCTCCGGTCCTGCTAAATGTTTCCCTGGCCCCCTCCCAGGTATCCCCACTCACCGGACAGCTCCGCGGCCGGGAGGGCGGACAGGCGACGAGCTGTGGTCACGTCCCCGCAGGGGCGCGGCGGCGTGGAGGAGGCAGCGCCGGGGCCTCGGGCTGGCCGCGCAGCGGGGAGCGTGCGTGCGGGTGGTGCGGAGCGGGCGGGCTGTGCGGAGCGGGCCGCCCCGGCATGCTGGGCCGGCTGCGGGCCGGGCCCGGGCGGAGCGGGGCTGCACCGGCGCCTCCGCGCCGGGGCCGCCGCCGGAAGTGACCGCGGAGAAGGCGTCCGGGGCACGGCGGGGCGGGACGGCGGCCGGGAGGGGTCACTCCTCCTCCTGCGCTTGCGCGGCGAAGCGAGGGCGCGCGCGTGCCCCGTTCCCGCCGTTTCTTGTGAGGGCGGTGCGCGACGGCGGGGTAGGGCAGGAGCAGCGCGGCGCAATTAGTGCTTAATTAGCGCTTAGTTAGCAAAGGGCTCGGGCTGCGGCAGTGGGTGTGCTTTCTGCGGGAACAGCAGCGAGCTCTCGGGTTCGTCAGTGTGTGTGCTGTCTTCACGCGTTTCTCCCTCCTGTGCTCCTCGGAGCAGCGGTCCGGGCCTGGCCCTTCCCCGGTGGAGCACAGCACTGCCGGGGCAGAGCGCTGCTCCAGGCTCCGGTGATGTCGTCCCAGCAATCACACAATCAATTAGGTTGGAATAGACCTCTGAGATCATCGAGTCCAGCCTATAACCCAACACCAACGTGTCAAACAGACCACGCATGCCATGTCCAGTCTTAAACGCCTCTCTGGACGGTGACTGCATCCCCTTGAGCAGCCCATTCCAATGTCTATTCACCTTTTTTGTGAAAAAAAATTGTTCAACATGGATTACTAGGGGAATGTGAGTCAGAATATAGTACTCCTACCAGTAAAGAAGCCACATATTAGTGAATACAGTCCAGTACAAGATCTCAGAGCTATTAATAAGATAGTTTTCCAGGGAAATCAAAAGCAGTAGAACCAGTAAGAATACAGCTGAAACCTGACTGGTAAGGCAGAAACAATATACTTAAAAGCTAGAAAAGGGTTAGAAGAAATTTGTGAAGAAATTCCTTTTTTTCAACCTAAACCTCCCCTGAAGCAGCTTAAGTCCTCCTGTCATGTTGCTGGTTATGTCACTGTAATACATATATATCTATTAAGTAAATTAGAAAAGTTAATCAAAACAATTAATTGGGAACGTTATATCATTTCCAACAGTTACCTGGGAACAGAGGCTGACTCCCACCTGGCTACACCCTCCTGTCAGGGACTTGCAGAGGTAAGGTTACCCCCAAGCCTCCTTTTCCCTGGACTAAACACACCCAGCTCCCCCAGTTGCTGCTAACAGGACTTGTCCTCCAGCCCCTTCCTCAGCTCTGCTCCCTTCTCTGGAAACGCTCCAGCCCCTCAATGTCCTTCCTGAACGGAGGGGCCCAGAGTCAGACCAGCTTCCCAGTCCAGTGATGAGGCAGGTGGAGGCAAGCAGCAATGCAGCTGGAAATCCAGGGAAGCTCAGTGCTGGGTGTAAGGGCCAGCTCTGTGTCACCACTGTGTCATGAGAGTTCCCAGAGATCTCCCTGTTGGGAGACAGGGAGTCACCCCAGGTACTGCAGCCACCCCAAGTATTCTCAGGACCTTTGGATCCCAGCATTTCTTTATCAGCATTTCTCTCTGAGTTTTGAAGGCTAAAAGTTTCCATACACAACAAAGTAATTATTTTCTCAGTTTTCATGAAAGTTAAAACTTAGTGCTTTGCTCCCCAGGTAACAAACAGACCCTCTAGGACTCTCTACCCACAGCTCTCTTCCTTTGAACCTTTTGGGAAGCAGGATATTGTGCAGCTATCACTTGAACATGTTTTTCAAATTACACATTTTCGATTCTTTCTGTATTCATGTCTATTTCTGCAATTTACATCATGACTTCTAACTTTAGATGAATGTAAACCACATCTATCTCGTGCCTCCTCTGATTGTGGAGGAACAGAAAAAAGCCTCTCGCCAAGCCAGTCGTTAATAAACCCCACAAAGCAGTGATACGACAGCCAGTATTCAATCTGCAAATGGTTATTTATTCTCCTGAAGTCCTGCAGCCATTTCTGTGCTCTGTTAGTGTTTATTTGTGATAATTGGAGGCAAGCTGTTTCTTCTGCATCAAACACTCCACCCAACCCCTCTACTTTTCCAGAACTCCATACTTTTATTCAGATCAACACACGACCACTAGAATTTTATTGGAATTATTACCTAGCCAAATATTTGGAACAAAATGGCTGGTTGACTTTACAGGACTAATGTACAACTGAAAATAGTAATTTAAGAGAAAGCCACTTGAAGGAAAGCAGATGTGTTTCTCTTGTTGTTCACGGAGGAGTTCTGACAACGTGCATACTGTCAATGGCATTAGAAACTCAAATTCTTTCCTAAATTGGGCATTTTGACTCTTCCATGGACATTTACATGACTTTATCTCAGAAAAAAAAATTACATTAAAAACATGTAAATTATTTTAACTACACTGTGATAACACTTTGAGGAGCAGGGGAAGCATCTGTTTTGGGGTGTATTATGAGCCCGAGAGGGGCTACAAAGGAGCCCCCACTGTGTCAGGAGGGGAAAGGCTCTCTCCCCAGGACACTTCATGCATCATTACCTCGGGAAATGAAAGGTATTGATGGAGATTATACAGGAATCTCCCTCTTCATTTTCCTGACAAATTACAAGGGCTTCTTTGAAGGAGTTCTAAAGACAGGCAGGCACACAGAACTGCAGCAGGTACCAGCCTTTACTTCTGAAGAGTTGACTTCAGAGTCTGCTTAAATAGACTAGAAATCGTAACAGATTATTCAGCTACTCAGTAACAGTTCGTCCAGCTCCAGCTCCCCCACCCGCAAGCTTTCCAAGGCTCCACCCCTGCTCCAGGTCAGTCACCACAATGTTGTCCTGAGTGCTGTGGGGCAGAGGCGTCGTCTCAGAGTTTTATTTGACATCATCTCTGTGTCAGCCCTCAAACAGCACTAGTTTCCAGGAGGCTTTCATGACCCCATCCCCTGAAACAAAAGCCAAATGAGATTGAGATGGCGTGGCAGCAAGGAGAAAAACACTGCCAAGGGCTTTGGAGGATCATGTTCCCCGTGGAGGTGGAGAGCTTAAACCGCCATGAGACCTGCTGTGGTACAGTGTGGTAGGGGATTTAGGAGTAGCCAGGTGGAGCTGCTGTCAGCTGTAGTCACCAGGACAGCTTCCATGAGTCCTTCTAAGCTGCTTTAAACCTCCCTGAGATTTACTCTGACACTGTACCAATGACTGTGGGGACTTCCTTTCCTTTGAGAGTAAACCCACATTGAACCTGTCCCTCTTTCTATGCACACATCTGCCCACAGTTCCCGTGTCATCATGCCATCCATGGGCTTTGTGATGACAGCAACTGCACGGTGTGACAGCAGCAGCCAAAGAACTGGAGACACAGAAGGAGAATCTGTCTGACTGTTGAAGGGTAAAGGAGCCCCTTTTCCTCAGAAGTGTTGAAATAAAGATGTTACTATTTTTAAAATGGCACCAGTAGAAAAGCAACAAAGGGATTTGTTGTATTTCTGATGAATTCTGGTCTGTTTGGGAACTCTTTGCAAGAATAAACATTAAGGATCCCAGAAATGTTAACATTTTCAGTGTTTCTGGTTATATACACAGGTTTTAGGGTGTGGGAGTAACAAAATAAAACTTAGGCTGTTACTGAACTCACAAAACAAAATCAACAAGGAAAGGGACCAAAAGTGCTACATTTGATTTAGGCAGCAAAAATCTCTTTTTATGTTATCCAAAACAAAGCATACATTAAACCAATGGAGTTATTGCACCAATCTCTCATTTAGTCTTCTAGGATCATAAAAATTTCAGTTTCTCTGTGAGGGCGGTTCTAGCCACACACAGCACTTGGGATTTCTGTGTTTATAAAATAAAATCCACCTCTCTTCTTTGAAATTGCTTTGGCTCCTGTGTCACCATCCAACCACTCTCTTCCTCAGCAGGCAAACAAGCACATATTTTACAGTCAGTGAAATATGTTTCTTTCAAAAAGGTTACAGAAAACATTTTCTAGACATTTATTCTTTTTTTACCTAAGTAATAGAAGAGAAGCAATGATTCATATGACTTCTCTATTTTAGTTGTTTCAAAAAAACTGTTAACAAGGCTTCATATTTTAGATAGAAATTTGATCTTTGCAGTTTTCTACTAAATGAGGCATAAAAGTATTATATGTTAGCTGTTTAAAATAATGAAAGCTATCACAAGAAGCACAGTTTAAAAGCCTGTCTGTAGAGACTTTATAAAGAAGAGAAACCTAGTGATACATTTGTACAAAATAATGAACAGTGCAGAACAGGCCAGGCAAGTGTTCCCATTTCTTCTTTATTGCTGAAAAAGGAAAGGGGAGAGCTTTTGAAACTGGAAATTCTAATTTCATTCAGATTTAGAAAGTGAAATGGAAACATAACCATTCAAAGCTCAGAAGAAGAAATACCTCCAGCTTTACTGCCAGTTGATAACAGAGCAGCATAGGATATCTGCAAGTATCCAAAACCCACTAAAACTTCCCATGGATAATGCACCCATTTAAAAAACTGTGTCAAGATGAAAAACATAGGAGCTGAACAACTTCCCATCTAAAGAACAATTTCATCACCATCTAAAAGACCAGGAAAGGTTCCCCAAGGCCCTGTATCGCCCTAAGAGTGTATTAGAGAGGATTGAATACAGTGCTGTTGGCTGATAAAAGCAAAGTCTTGGTGTAGTCTGACTCTTCATAAGATCCAGAATATATTTTCTTTAAGTAAACATTTTGGTCCTACTAATTTCTTTCCTTGGGAACATCAGGAATAACATATCATTATTCCAAATTAAACTGGAGCTCTCCTCAGTGAGCCAGAAAAATGGTCTGGCATTGAGAAAGAGATTCTGAGTTTTCTCCCACTCTTTGTAAGTTGTGTTCTCCATTTACCTGCACAAAACCCTGTAGGTCCCTGTGCATGATCTGTCTGTGGCACACTCACAACATCTTCCTGAAATGAATCAGGATAAATCCCTCCTTCCTTTTGTGAGCATCTTGATGCATTTGATCCATGTTGGATGTTTTCACTGTTCCAAATGCAGTGTGTTTGCTCAGATCCCTTTACAACTAGTGAAATACAGAAATATGTTTCACTGAATTGGAAATTCATTCATTAATAAGGAGCTGCCCCTTATGAAAGCATCATCAGGTGGAATTAGAAGGTATCAGAAAGTGGAATTAGAGTGTGCTTTGTGCTGAGGCTGTTCACTGTGACAAGCCTGACTTGATCTATGTGGTTTGTGAAGGAAAAGCTACCCAAAGCTCCAACACTTGAGGGTGCAGCTCTGATCTGAGACTTTCCCAGCAGCAGCAGTAGTGAAGCCTCCTCAACAACAGTATATATGTATGTCATGGGAGACAGGTAAATGCTGCTTCTCATTCCCCATCTGAATGATTAAAAAACTGAGGTATAAAGAGATTAAAAAGAACACCTGAAGATGGATATCTCCCAAACCGAGTGGAGTTACTCACTGTTCAGCATCCCTGAAAATTCAGAACAGTCACGCATGATTTTTGGGGTGCCCTAAAATATTTTCTATGCAAGACCTGTGAACTGGATTAAGATAAATGTTCCTGTCGCTGTGAAACTGCATCTTTCAGCACAGCTGCCCCGCAGCTGTCACTAAAACAGCAGGACTGCAGGGTGACCCCACACCATAACTTAATATTATTGTCAGGAATGTAGAGCCAGCAAGGAAAGGGAATCTTCAAGTCCAGGTCTTGGCCTATATTCTCTGGCTGACACTATCTGATGTCTCTGCCCTACAGTGCAGACAGGAGGCCCACACATATCTGTACATTACCTGGCACAGGTAGAGATTTGGTCACTGTGTAGCTGCAGCAGCAAGGACCTTGGGGAGAACAGGATCAGGTTCCTCAGGAAGGCTGAGCCTGACCATCTCCCAGCAGTGCTCACCCCTCCCTGATTAAAGCTTCCTCAAAAGGCTGACAGAAGTTATGGACACAGTTTTCACTGCAGTAGAAAAGGGCAGCACAGTGCTAGGGGTGAAAGCTACAGCCAACAGCTTCTCTCCTGCCACAGCACAGCTGGTTGTCACAGTAATGGTAAAGCTTGACTGGGTAGGAAACAGAAGAGTCTTCTCAAAGCTGATCTCAGAATACAAAATGAGCAGGATCCCAGGACCTGGGATCCATGATAAATTCCACTGATTTCTGATCCCAGAGCAGTGAGACTGTTTTTTCAATCTTGCCTCCTACAAGGTAATTAAATACATATTTTTTTAGAGATAGCCACCAGAACAAGCCACTCCTTGCACTTACATCTCCTGGAGATGAAATGAGCAACAGGAGAGATGTGAATCACTGGAAAACACTGCTACACTGGAAAGAGCTCGTGGACCACTAGTGCTTGTCTGGGATATACACAACACATCTGAATCTCTCCAGAGGCTTCCTCATTCTCCTGCTTTGCTGTGTCTGTGAAAACATTGAGGCTCAGGTGTGCTGTCCAGTGTCATGTCTGAGGTATGCCTGGGATGCTGACAGTGTTGGACCAGGGCTGTACCATGAGAGCACAGCTAGAAGAGAAATGGTCCAGCTTCTCCTTCAGTGGGAGCTGCTGGCTTACACCACACTACTGCTCTGGGGCAAGTAGTGGAATGCCATGCCAGCAAGAAGGCATTTTGCTTGAAAACAATAGCCAGCTCCATCTGTCAAGTATAAAAGGTGCAGCCCTGGTCTCAGATATTAATCTGGTTTCAAACAGAGCAAACTGATTGGAGGATCAAGTACCTTGACACAGTGACATTCAGAACAACTGCTTCCCCTGGTGTTTCGAGCAGGATAATGCCATTACTGAGCACAATGCTGCTAATCTCAGCTCCACTCTTTCCGCTGAAGGGAAGAACATCAAAGCTTTAACATCTGCACCTCCTACCTGGTATCTGTCTACTGTCTCTCTCCTCTGCCCTCCCTGTTCCCTAGTCCATTTTGTACTGAAATTCTTGCCTTATCACATTCAGCAGTTGTCTGATCATTTCAGGAATTAAAAGAGCTTGGAGCTGTATCTTGGCTTGCACGATAGCATTTAAATGTCTGCATGTCTCTGGCAAGCAGAACTTGGTGCCAGGGTCTTTTTTCATATAATAGCTTGGAGTGACTTGGCATATTCATCACTCTGGAGAGTCCCTGAACAGACCCTCAGTAGCACAGTTTGCATAGAGAGACACAGGCAAGCTGCCTCCAGCCTTCAGAGATCCACTGTCTTAGAGAGGTTTTGTGGACTGTGAAGTAGGATGACAGCCAGGAATGAAGTCCCATACCCATGCTTCCTTCCAACAAGCCCTGACTTGTTTATACAGTCCCCTCTGATAATATACTGTTGGAAAGTCCCAGCCAAAATAATTTCCTTGTCACACTGTAGGGCTGCACCTGTTTGTTAATGCCCCAAGGCATCTATCTCATATTTATTAGCACAATGACCTGTGAATAGAAGGAATGAGCCCTATATAACATTGTGGTAACCATGAAACTCAAGAAGTCCTAGATGTTATAAAAGGGCTATAGACATCCAAGAGAGTTTATTAACCAGCAAATTAAGCTACCCCAATGCTTACAATGCAACAGAGATAAGGATTTTATAATCAAATAGTCTGATAAGAGTGCACACTCTTGTGACTCTGGATGGAAAACATCAAATCTGCACTGTGTTACAGTCACTGTAATAGCAATGCTATATTAAATTCTGTTTAGGAACCTCATTTGTAACTTGCTTTCATAGATCACCAGTTATCTGAATGCAGAACTGAAGAATTTTTGCCACAGGACTTGTTTTTAAGTGGGCACAGGGAAAGGTGTGCATGCAAGGAAGTTTATTAATTTATTTCTCCTAAGATAGTGCAGAGTACCAGAAATATCAGAATGCATGAGAATGTGACCAGACCTGATGAGAACACTGTAACAAAGGGGAAATATGTGCTGAGAATCAGAAAGCAGCTGCTCATTCATTCATGGAATGGTCCCATAAGGATCGAAGGGGCATCCATGACTTGAAACAGAACTTGAAGAGACAAAACAGAAATGATTGCACTGGAGGGCAACAAGAGTTTCTGCCCCAACTCTTCCATTTGACAGGATACCCATGTAGCTGCTCCCATGAGCATTAGTGCTTGCTAATGAGAAGTCTCAACAAGAGGAAAAAACTCTGCTGAAAAATTTCAGGCACTGTCACCCCTAAAAACCCTCCCACACCTGGGTTCACAAATCACTACTTTTTTGAGAGTCTGGAACAAATATTTACCCCTGAGAATTCAAAATTTGCTTTTCTCTGGGTATTTAGCAGCACTTTCCAAGTAAGATCTGCCTCCTAGATCCCCCAGCTGATGGCAACAAAA